TATGTCATGATATGAAAGGAGGATATTTAGAAGATAAGTATGTTAATCAAAAATTTAATTTTAAATTATTTTCATTCATTTTATCTAACTGTTACATTTTAGACATACACAAGGATGTCAAACAAATGAACCTTGTTATCGATTTTTTCGTTGGCATCTAATTGATATATTCACTTATTTTTCTCATGAACTTGTTACTATTCCACCGTTAGTTTGGATCAATTGTGCACATAAAAATGGTGTTCAAATACTTGGTCAGTATGATTTTTTAAAATATTTGATAATATCTAAATTATATTTTTAGGTACATTTATAACTGAATTCGATAATGGAAAAGATATATGTCGTCATTTATTAGCATCTGATGAAAATGTTGATCGAGTAGTTGATGCTCTTGCATTACTTATGGCATGGTATAATTTTGATGGATATTTATTAAATATTGAAAATCCAATTGAAGTTTGTAAAATTTTATTTTCAATATCAAAGAATAATTTTTTGTTTATTCTTAGCCAGAATATATTGAACGTCTTCTTTCATTTGTTTCAAAACTTAAAATAGCTTGTTCAAAAATTGATCGAAATAGTTTAATTATTTGGTATGATAGTGTAACAATTCATGGTGAATTAAAATGGCAAAATCAATTAAATGAATTAAATATGTAAGAATATTTTTATTCAATTGGTCTTAGAAAATTCAAAAATAAAATATCGTATAGAGTGATTAAATAGTGCTATAGAAAATTTTAATCTCATTCTTACATTCCTCATCTCGCCCAGTGTTTTATTTAGTGGGTGGGCGGCACCCACCCAAAATACGAGACTTAAACAAAGCACTGTTAGATGGCGCCCACTCAGAATTTTGATTTCACCCACCTGACATCTCGATTCTCGCTCCCGAAAAAGAAAACCTACATAAAATACTGATCTCATCAATCCTAGACATGTCTTGTTCTATGATATTTTCTTTAAAATATTGTATGTAGGCCATTTTTTGATGCTTGTGATGGAATATTTTTAAATTATACATGGAAATCAGAAATGCTTATACAATCGAAAATAAACGCTCGAGAACGCTATCGAGATGTTTTTGTTGGTATTGATGTTTTTGGTCGAGGATGTTTTGGTGGTGGTGGTTTTAATACATGTGAAGTACATATACTTTTCTTTTTTGGGCTTCTATAATCATCTTCTTTCTATTAGGCAATGTCTGTGAGTTATACAAATGATTTAAGTACAGCTTTATTTGCACCTGGTTGGCTGTTTGAAACACTTGATACTAATGAATTTCTCGAAAATGATAGAAAGTGAGTGTATTCCATTTGAATAAACGATATGATATATATTACAAAATCAATCTAGATTCTGGAATTTATTAGAACCATATACAAGTCAAAGAATTCTTCATATGAAATCGTTGACAACTTATTTTTCTGATGGTTTTGGCGAGAACTTTTTCATTAGTGGCTTAGTAAACATTCAAAAAATTTTATTTTAAAATTTTTCAAATCTTCAATTTAGAATTTAGCGACAAATCCGTGGTATAATCTTAGTTTACAATCTTATTTACCAAATGTATTAAGCGAAAATAAATGGTTAATTAAACATGATGATGCTTATTTCGGTGGATCATATATTCAAATTAAAGGAAATACCGAAGGTTATTCTAAGTAAATTTTATTTAATATTCTCTCTCTTTATATCGATATCAAAATCATTTATATTAGATTATTTAAATGTTTAATTCCTATTGAATCAATTTGTGAAATTGTATTAGTTTTTAAAAATATTGATAATATTATACCTGAACTTAAATTTGATAATGGAACATTCATTCATTTATATAAAAGTGAAAAGGATTTAATCATTCGGAATTGGAGACAAAAGTATGAGAATATTTATTATCATTCCAATTTTCTTTTTCATGTTTTATTAGAACATATCGAGTTAGTGTAAATGAACGAAAATCGATTACTGATATATCGATTTGTTATGAAAAGAATGTAGATTCAATTATTAAACTTGGCTATTTATCAGTAAGATAATTAATGGACAATTTTTGATCTTAAAAGAAACAAACTCTTCTATTTAGATTCGTCCTATTGAATCTGGTTGTTCAAAAATCGAATTATCATCACGATTGATTCAATCAATTGAACATAATTCAAATTCATCCATGACTTTACATTTTGGTGATTTTATTCAAGAACAAATATCGTCAATAATATTAATTTTTGTACGTGATCAATTTGAACAATATACATTTCTTGGTGCTACACATCAAACATATTTTGTTATTTTTAAATCAGAAATAATCGATGATAAACAAGAATATTCAACATTAATTGTTCGACATTATTCACTTGATAGTTTAGATTTAATTAATGAAACAATTCTTCGATTACCAATAGCATATAATTGTTTAAAAAGCTTTTACTTAGAAAAATCTTCTTAAAAAATAAAAAAAATCGATTTTTATACGAAACGTTTCTTCTTCTTTTTTCTAGATTAATATGGATATGAATATATCTAATTTAGAGATTTGTTGCTTAGCTTATGATAAACAATTCGATCAAGTTAAAGCTAAAATAGAAAGTGATCCCGAATGTCTCAAAAAGAAAGATCGTGTATGGAGATTGTTTTGATTTATACAAAAAAAAATTCTATTGATTATCATTTTATTATAGGATGGTCGTACTGTTCTTCATTGGGCTTGTTCAAGTGGTGCAAAAGATATTGTGCAATATTTACTTGAAGTTTGTCATGTTCGACCAGATACTCCAGATGAAGTAAGAAGAATTCTAGAAATCGAGTTTTCAAAATATTCGATTCATTTGAAATAAAGATGAAAAATCAAAACGAAAGATTCAAATACTTTTCTAGCTTGGTTGGACACCTTTGATCATTGCTGTATCAACTGGTCATATTGAAATTGTTCGAATGCTTTTAAAAACAAATAAAGTCGATATTGAACAATCTAATTCATCCGGTGCACGACCATTACATTATGCATGTTCAAAAAACTTTTATGAAGTAAAATATACAAAACATCTATCTATCTATATTTTTTCAAATATTTAACTTATTTTTAGATAGCTGAATTATTACTTGAACATGATGCTGATATAAATGCAACTGATAAATATAAACAAACACCATTAGATCGTTGTTGTTCAAAAGGAAATACGCAAATAGTTCAATTACTTTTAAAACATCCGAAAATTGATCTAAGTATGCATAAAGAATGTGATGGAGATCATTCATTGACATCATTTAAAAAATGAAATATCATTTTATTAGTTTAAAACGAAAATAAAGAGAACAAAAACAAAACCATAACCTATAATTTAATAAAAACCACACAGATCAGTTTAACAAGTATCACTTTTATGACAAAAACAAAAAGAAGAAAGACAATTATTTAATGTTTTTCTAATTTTATAATAAACGATCGTATTTGCATTGCATACAATTCAATTGTACTTCCATCAAATACTGGTATTTCATCATGTCCTTTTTTATTTGCTAAAAACAAAATATATTAGATAAATAAATGATTTCTATATCACAAACCATATGTCGAATCTAATTTCCATTTCAGTCGTTCAAATGCTTGTGATTTATCCATATTAGCAC